AGACTAGGGAAGAGAACTATGTTGATGAGTCTTTCAAGCATACAATAGAAACAATTATCACATATAACTTTCAGCTCATGTATGTGTTGTTTACCCAGTGCAATTTAGGTTTATTTACTCATTTGTTTGTCTGGCATATTATTCCTCCTTTCTAAAACCAGAACATAAAGTAGCTGACAACAAGATCAGAATACAGTACAGCCCAAAGTTTTAAATTTTATAATAGTAAAGCAAAATTCCACAAACGATAATATTAACATTAAAACATCGAAGTAGTATTTTGAATTAAAATGCAGTAGAAAAACACATTGATTAAAAAATAGCTTCTCTCAGCAGTAAATGAATTTCCCAAAGTCCGCTTGGGGAAAAAAATTGTTTTCACATTACAGCAGAAGGACAACAGGAAGGGGGACAGGCTGGTTTCCTTTGAAAGGGGTTTCAACAGCCTCAGAGCAGCTGGCAAGACTGGCACCCTAAATATGGGTTTGTAGGAATAACTCTGATGGAAGAAGTAGTGTGTGAACTACCTCTATGAAAGCACACACAGAGTTGCACTTCTGAAGCACAATCACAATTAAAATGTTATACAAAAATTATCGTTTTAAAGTAAAATTGATTTTTGTGAAAGAGATTTAAGCAGACATGCTGCTCTCCCCTTTACAGCACAGAGACTTTGGTTACCAACATTGTTTGGAATGGGCCTTTAGCTATTTTAAAAACAAAAATGTTGAACTATCTAAATTCCATTCTAAATAATGTAATTTTAAATTCCTTTATATACAGTTCATGTAAGGTTGTTTTTAAAAATTTACTTCTAATATTTATCACGGCACAGGATTTTAGCAGTGTGCGATTTAATTGAATATTAGAGTGATGAACATGGATGAGAACATAAAGTGCCATTCCAATGAAAAAATAGTCTCCTCTTATAATTCGAAGTATTGAATCAAAGCTTATGTTAATGAATTTTTGAAGAATAAATTAATCTTCTAAATCATAACCATAATCAAACATACACTAATATCTACGGTTTTAATTTAAAATGAAATGCTCAGAATTTGTAAATGTTAGAGAGTAAATGAACAACACCTGGAACATATCCAGACCCTAAGGCATGGACGGGCAAAATGTGGTCTGAAGGCTACGTGCACTCCCTAGCAACACTTTCCTATTTTTTTAAAAAATAGAAATAAAAATAAAATTATCTTTACCAACCTTGAGGCAAAAATGTAGGTGTGGGGAATGCCCGTCACATCTCCTGTGGAGTATAGGGATGATGATGATTTGCAAAAAGGCAAAACAAAAAGGGGGTTTGGTTTAGGAGCCTGTGCAGCCCTTGGATCTTCCAAAATTGGCCACTCTTGTCCCAAAGTAATCTTGGGTCTTATCCTAGTGCTCTTCCCAAATAAGATAAGGCAGGTAGTTATAAAATATATATATATAATCTGCAGAATGCCTTCTCCTGAGAAGCTTGCTAAGTATCTATGTTATGATTTTTTTTTTTGTAACAGATGAATAATTTTAATAAATTGTTAACTGTTAGTTTTTTTTGTTTTTCATACTATGTAATTCCCACCATTTTCCTTGGCCTAAATCCAGTTGTTCAATAAATCACTGGGCTAAATCAAGTTGCTACCTGATTGAATCAAAGAAGCCTATATAAGTGTGAACTAAGTAAAGTTAATTCATCCAAGGGGTCTACTATAGTTCAGACTAAAAATTGAATTCAGATCCTTATGTGATGTTAGTTTATTTATTTATTTATTTATTTATTTTATATCCCGCCTATCTAGTCAACTCGGACCACTCTAGGCGGCTAACCAAAACATTGAAGATACTTGCAACATGTCATTTTTTGGACAGCAAGTTACAATAATGAACAATCACATATACTGCAAAGTAGAAATAAAACAAAGACATAAGATAGCTAGGACCACCTTTATGAAGTTGATGAAAATGCTGTATAACAAACAGCTTAATATATCTTTTATATGGTCAACCCTCCTCTATAGATGCGAGGTTTGGACTATTAAGAAGGAGATGCTCAAAGAATAAACACTTCTAAAATGTGGGCATTCAGAAGGAGCCTTTGCATCCCACGCAGTGGGAGAAAAAAGAATAAAGAGGTACTTCATAGGAAAAGAAACTTTTCAAGGGATAGGAAAACAAAAAATAAGAAACATTAGCTCTCATATATTGGACACATAATTTGGTTATGACAAATACAATATAGTACAATATATAATTGAAGAGAAGATAGGATATAAATATGGAAGAAATAGAAAATGGATTTCTTGGATCAATAACATCAGAGACTGGCTAGATCTCAATAGAAAACAACCAATCCACATAGGAATAGAGAGATGGAGGAATGCCATAATGGTGTCACCATTGTTATGTGCCACAAAGTTGCCTTCAACATATGGCAACCCTATAAATTCACAACCTCAAAAAAAAGTATGTTGTCAACAATGGGGATCACCTCTAACAAATTCAAATTATTGGGGCGTGGGGGGATAAACATATAGCTAGGTAGGCTGGGCTTGATTCCCATGGCTTTTTATATTCTTACTGTTCGTTCAATTCTTCATTCTTCAAAAACGTTATTTGTTTCCTTTTTTCTGTGAAGAATGAGACTCCCTCTCCATGGAGGCCATCAGCACACAAACATCCCAGATCCAAGGATTCTAGTACTATGGATCTAAATGCTCGTTTTTCTCATACTGTACTTGTATACCATGAGAATGAACTGAAAAAATTATTTGCTTTGCCCTCTACAAGATATTTTGTGATGCTCCCAACAAAAGAAGAGGATGAGAACAATTCATTGGAGCAACACAAGTGAAACTACTGAAATAACATTAAGTGCAAAGCAACATTTTAGCACAGAGGACACAAACTGCAGGAAACAAAGGTGGCTGTTGTGTTTTACAAAGAATCAGAAGTGAGAGGGGTTGCTTACATCTTTTTACACTATCAGCCTATTGTTCTCTGCTCGCTATTAAGTGTGTTCCTGGCTACTCAAAGGGAAATAAAATTAGTTTTGTGGATGGAGATGTTCTATACATTACAGAAATATTGACAAGACAACAACAACACTTCAACATTCTCTAGCCTGCAGGGCATGAAAGTGTCATGGGGTCTGAAAGTTTCTCTAAAAAGTGTCTTGTTGAGTCAAGACAGCTGAAAACAACAGGAATAATGAATACAGCTGTACATTCCTAGATTGTAACAATGTTTTCATTTTAACCTATTTTATCTTGAATAAAAGACTATTTTTTGCCTTTGACCTTATCATGTGGATCCTTAAGACTACTTCTAATTCATGGTCACAACCTTGTCTTTGCAACTTTCTGTTCTCTGCCAATGTAATGATCAGCAATTCTTACAAGCCTTTGCCTTATCCTTGCAGCCTATGTGTCTCCAGAGTCCAAATGTTCTTATATTTCCACATTCTGGCTGTGCCCCTGTTTTCCCTTGGCCCTAGAAACCTCAATTTCCCAATCATTTCAATGGATCTGCTCTAAATATGAGTAAGTCTGGCCCCAACCAAATATGTTGTTCTTTCCTTAATCACATACAGAAACTAATAATTAACCAGGACAACTTTCCAGATATTCCAGAAAAACATAATTCCAAGCTCAAGGTAAATATAAAATATTGTAAAGTATGGATTCATTTATTCATTGAGTAGTGTCAAGAAATGGGAAGTAGTAAAGAGTTATTTTCTGCCCGTTTGGCACTCTTACAATGTATGTGAAATTTTGTCGTAATTTAGTGAAACGGGGTAAGAAGTGCAGGAGAGAGGTATCCTGGACAAAGGTACTGTTATCTTTATCAGAGCTGACAGTCCTAATGACCTTATGCAAGAGAGTGTACAGCACTTAAGGAGAACCTACATGTTCTGGCATGCATAGATGCTCTTAGTAACTCAGTGTTGAAGAGTTTACTTTAAAATGGGTTATTCGCTTCTAACTTAACTTACATTTTCAAATGAATGAATTTTAATAATGAATGCACATTGTCTTCAATGTTTCGAATGAATTCCATTTGGACATTGAAATCAAGGTGCATTTATTATTAAAATGTAGAATGCTGCATTCTGGTTTCTATTATGCAGAACTGCAAATAATATTATTATGAAGTTATGACCAATGGAAGAAAATTAATGATGCTGTGATTAAAATGCATATTGCAGTATTTTAAAGTGAGAATAAAGAGATCTGATCAAAAAAATCTAAAAAGACTAATTTTCTTTGTACTGGAATGCAGTAAATTGTATTTGAATTTCTAAATGAATAATTGCTCCCTTATGGTAATCACTGTATATTTTTTTCCTCAGCAAGTATTTGTTAATTCAATCTATTCTTAATTGTCAATTTATACTGCAGGAGAACAGTCCATTTATATTGTAGAAAGGTAATTAGCTCTCAGGTGCATATGGAAATTTGACTTTGTTTTAACTGCATTCTGTTCAAAAGTCAAGCAATGCTTTTCTGCTATAGATTAACAGGTAATAATTTGAAAGGGTCTAACCTGGTTTCTTAAATCTATTTTCACAGTAGACACATTGGCTATACACAATATTTTATACCATAGTAGATTCCAAACCATTTTTACCTGGTCATTTGGCACGATCTATTATAGCCTGAGACCCCATAAAGTTATATTCAAGTGTGTACTTCATTTCTAACCTGTATCCCTTTTAACTGTATAATCCACTGATTATACAAAACACAGTTCAGTTCTGATATATTTACTTGGATTTACTACATTTCTGTTCAGGTTTTATTACATTTCTGATTAAGTCAAGAATCTTGCTCCCTTTTACATTAACGTCTTAAATTCTATTTGTGTAATCTATAAATGGAATGAAGTAATAAATATCTATGCAACAAAAAGTATGTTAGTCAACATAAATGCACTTAATTCACATGTTGGTCCCATGAACCAAAACATCCTAACAACTAATGGTATGAATGTTCACATGGAATACCTACCAGAGGAAATCCTGGGGGGCAAAGATCCTCCCCCTGACAGAGGATGTGGGCCTGGAATGTTATTTAAAAATCCTTCTCTCAGGATTCTTGGGCAAAGAGACTGCACCCCAATGGTCGGGAAGGATCCTTATAAAAGATAAAAATTATAATTAATGAGACAGGAAGTTATATGAGTTGCTGAAAAAAAGTGTTGGTCAAGAGACAAGAGCCCACTGAAAAAAATGGAATATTAGTTTGAAACCAGTTGTGTCTAGGTCGAAAGTCAGATCAGTGTGTGAAGCCAAAAAGTAGTACAAAGAAAGTAAGTAAGAAAAAAAGAAAGAGAAAAGGAAAAGGAAAAAGGAAAAAGGAAAATTTTAAAAAGGTGAAAGTTGATTCCAGGAGTGAAATTTTATGATGGTACAATGACAAACATTTCAAATGTCAAAAATGTGAAATTTAGAAAAAAATTTAATGTGTGTAATCTACTGTCTTTCTTGTTTCCAAATGTCATGCACTGTCATTTCCCCAGGATAAGACAATATTTAGGTTAATGCCTTAAATCAGCTTCAACCAGCATTGAGAAACGCAGCTTTGTTTCCAGATATTTCAGACTTCAGATCACAGTATCCCTGACAATTGGTTCCGATGACTGAGGCTGATAAGGGTTGTAATTTAAAATGTCTGGAGGGTGATTTATAAGTCACTGTGAGGGGGCTGCCCCTGGTGCCACTGGCAAGACAACTGCTCTTATCCCACACCTCCTGGGGAGGCTGCTGAAGTCATCTTCTGCAAGACCTCAGGTGGGTACTGAAGCTGGTCGGCTGTTTCAAGGCCAGGAGGGAAAAGCCAGATGCTGGGAACCACCTGTGTGATAGTGCAGGGCCAGAGCTCTATATCTAGCTGCTGGAGGTAAGTTGGAATGGGAGGAACAGGAAGCGGCAGTGGAGGTAGGAGAATATGAGAAGTCAGGAAAGGACCATATGGTTCAGAGGATGATAGAACTTGGGGAGATGTTGTGAAGGAGCTGGAAGAGGCTTTGCTTGGAGAGGGCATCAAAGACCCCAGGATGAGCATCCCTGTTACATTCCAGTTCCTGCATGGCCAGGGTTGAACAGCCAGGAGCTTTTCCCATGCCAGTCTTGACCTTGCAACCAGCATCAGTGGAGACCATTTCCCTCCACTGAACACCCAACCCTAACTCTGACCCAGAAGAGGAACTTGAGGTGCACTAAAAAGAGAGACAGTGGCACCTCAAGGAGAGATTGGACCATCCAGGGACCATCCAAACAATGGCTGCCCACTGGTACAAGCCATCCTTAAGATATGGACTGTAGACTGTGCCAGGCCTGGTGAGGGTAACTAAGGGCTGCTGAAGGGAATGAAAGGACCCCAGGCTAGTGAAGGCAGCAGAGTCCAGAGCTGAACCAAGTGAGGATGAAATGAACCCTGTACTTGAATTGTCTGGCTTGTCAATAAACTCTCTTTTGAATCTTACACAGAGTCCTAAGTGCCTAAGGAAGTCGCTGTCCTACAAAGGGACACAGATCCATTTTTTTAGAAACATGTACATTATTTAGGCTACAGACAGTTATGTCTGAAGAAATGGATTGTAATCCATGAAAGCTCTAACCAAAAGAAATGTTAGCATTAAATGTACCATACTATTTTTTTGTTTTGTTTTCCTTTTGTTTTTGTTATATATGCTGAAACACACCAAAATGGCTGTGTGTCTGGAAACTGATTAACTGAGAATGGTTTGTCTTATCTGAGTTATAACAGAACTGCGTGATCACACAATGAACTGAAGCTCTCCACCCCTTGCCATATTCAGCTCTTGCTCTTGAGATTTTCTGGTCTGTGAAATCAGTTTCTCAGGAAATCCCAATGAGGAAACTGGTTTAAGCAATGCTTACAAACTGGGATGTTCCTCTTAGGCTTACAGGCAGGGTTGAGATCAAATTAAGTTATAAATTGCAGTGAACATTCCCCAGCCTTTTAAAAATTATTGACAGACAACCAGTGTTGAGGGTATAAGAAGTCTAACTGGAATAAATTCTTGTTCGTATGGCTTTACAGCCAGTTTTCTTTATGCAATGAAAGCCGAAAGTGGCTATATTCTGATTAATATTTTTAAAGAGCAGTAGGAATTATTTCTTGCTCCTATGGTGACATGAGTCTTGAACCAGCCTTAATAATCTGATAAATGTAATAACATAAAAGGATATAAGATGAGACAGAAAGCTTTGCTGCATGGGGAAAGCCAGTTCACTCCATCTTACAAATCCTAAATCATGCTGCTATCAGTATAGTAAATAGAATGGTGACATTTATTAGAACATATCACAGTGGTTTAGGGACAAGTTGTTATCTGGTGTTAGAAATGTCCTGCTTTCTTTTTTAAAGGCACCACAGCAGTGGGTTTGAAGGGGTGCACCCATCATTTCATACATAAAAGAAAGATTATTTGGGGGTGAAAATGTTAAAAAAAACATTATTACAAAAAAGGCACAGAACACTGACAAGTAAAAGAGGAATATACAGTGGTGCCCCGTATAGCGAGGTTAATCCGTTCCGGATTAACCTTCGCTATACGAAAACATCGCTGTGCGGGTAAGGAAAGCCTATTGGAATGCATTAAACTTAGTTTAATGCGTTCCAATTAGCGTCCAAACTTACCCCTCCAGCGATGTTTTCGCGTCCGGTGGCCATTTTGGAGCCGCCGATCAGCTGATCGGTGGCT